TGTCCGGGCTGTCCGGGCTGTTGTCCGGGCTGTCCGGGCTGTCCGGGTTGTGGGGGGTCGGAAGTGACACCTTTTGGGGGGTCGGAAGCGACACCGTTTCCGTTCAGGACGGAGATTCGTAAGCTTCACCGTTCACTTCAATCCATGACGATACCGCATCAAAAGCTCCAGACCAGGAGCTTGGGTGGTTGGGTTTCCAACCTGAATGCAGCTCAGCACAGGCCTAACTCCTAAGCGGTTGTGTGAAGCAATGGTTGGTGACGCCGAGGAGCCAACAAAAACAAGCAAGCAGAGAGAGGAATGCATGCGAGGGCGACACAGGTTCCAGGTTCTGACAGATTCTAATGATCATGCAAAGCCCCAGGTGCTACGCCCACCGTCTTGTTTGTCGTTTGGCTGGCCATAGTGACATAATGTATGTTGTGCTGGACGCCCATACGACCGAGACCTTTGAAGCAGATTCAAGTGAAACTGCGACAACTGTAGCTGCCTAACATCACCTTGCAAGACCCTGCTGCGAAATCAGTGGTAGTAATTATTCATGTCAAGTGTCAGGATTTAGGGCCAATACACAGCGCTGCTTTTTGGGCTCCCGCATAGCCGCACAGCTTGCCGAACTAGCTCTGCAAATGTGAAGTGGGACACGACGGCCGGGACATCAGGGCTTCCAGCTCTACACAACTATGCTCGCAGCAATGACCGACAAAACCCAACTCTGCAATGCTATCGTAACCCAAAATCCTCAGCCATTTTTCAGACATGACGACCGTGTTCATGCAGTGGCAACAGCCTAGCTAGGCCTAGCTGGTGTCTGGGCTGGGGCTTGCAAGGCTGGAGTTCTTGGTATCTCTTTGGCGATTCTGGCATGACCCCTAAACATCGGAACCTTTAATTCCGTTCTTTCACAGGAATCCCATGGCCCGAGCGTGCAGCTAGCAGATCCGATGCATCTCAGGGCTCAGTTCGTAGACGAGGATTGGAGGCTCCTCCTGCACAACCTCTGCATTCAAGCGAGATCGGAGATTGCCCAAGAGCCGCCATTCGCCTGGCTTACTTGAATACATTTGGCCTGTTTCACAGAGGAATAAGTAGCCCTCGGCGGTGATATTGATCTTGCACAGGGTGAAGTCTTTGTGAGAGAGCGATGGTCGACTCTCTCCGTCCGGGCGCCACTGCATGAAACAATGAGCACGTTCCAAAGCTTCGGCGGCTCGGCGGCGTAGGCCGTAGCGATTGGAGTATGGATCAGGAGGTGCTCCCTCTTCTGAGTCCAACAAAGAGACCTGATGTGAGGTCAATGCAACCCATAGCTCGATGCCGTTCGAGCGGACCTTGGTGTCTTCCAGATCTTCAAAGTTGCGCATCACTATTGCGGAGCAAAAGGAATGATTTGATGCAGACTTGAGCCAGTTGAAAGGGAAATGGAACTCACGCTAGACACAGGGTCCCAGCTGCTTCAAATATCACCTGAAGCATCCAAGCTAATTCGACGTTCGGGCGTCTAGAGTCTAGAATGATACTTTGGTTGCTTCCGGCCGTCGGCCCATGACATACATCTATGTCCTGACATCTTCACACAGGTCCTTCTCATGATTAAACTTCTCGTCGTTTAGGATACCTGCTGATACCGGGGGATGTGCAGCATGCAGACACAAAGCGACTAACTTCGTGAACGATTCTTTGAGACTACAGGTGAAAGTATGCGTTGCAGATGTATCAGGCACTTAGGACTTAGGAGTTAGCCGAGGGGCCTGGCTGCGCGAAAGACTGCGCAGGCCTGGCGGTGCGGCTTTTGTGCTTCTGAAGTCTCCGTCTTGAGGCAACCGTTTCCAGAACCCATGGATTTCGCTCGATCCTGGGCAGGTCGGGGACATCGGCCACCGATTAGATGCTGAGCTCGGCACGTCATGGAAAGGGGCGACGTGGTCGGCCGCACTGGGTACGTCTGAGACCCTGCACAAGTGTCCGGTACGAAACCTATGCAACCTTAAGTCTCTATCCGACTCTAACCCCGCAGGCCGTCTGCACAAGCTTGGCCTCCCCTTTAGTCGCGCACTGTCAGAATTCAGTCGCGGCTGAGAAAATGTAAACTTCCAAGATGCATTGTCGTGCAGCAGGTCACAGGCTTTTCGCCGAGTGACAAACCCCGCCTACAAGCCTAAAGGAGACAACAAGCTGCAAGCCTGAGCCAAGTCTACACGAATCCAAATTCCGCTGACATTCCCAGATTTTTGAAACGCTTTCGGTGCAGTGCCACATCTCGGTGCAAGTTCTGCTCTGAGCATGCGGTTGCATGCTGCCCATGTCACTGCACTCGTCCATTGCAGGCCTGGTGGTTGCCGTGCCGCTGCAGCCACTGTGGAGTGCCTGGGCTGCGTAGAACATGTGCATGTGGGGCGGAGATGAAACATGGTGAACAGCAGACGGTTCTTTGCCGAAACTTCTGCCCTCAATCAGCACTTCCCACAACCCCCACCCCCCCGGCCCCGGCAAAGGCCTGCATGACCTTACGCTAGACTGTGAGAACGTGCTTGGCGGCAGTTGACCTGGCCAAGGTGGACAGGAAGCCCAATGGGGATCCTGGTATTTGGGTTGTGTCTGAATGTCTGAGATCTAGGGCTTCAGGTCCAGGCGAGGGGTAGGCGGAAACGAGACGCTAAGCACCTGTTTCAGTTTGCATATATGCAAGCACACAAAGAACAAAAATAACGACACAAACATCTGTTCTTAATCTTAAAATCGTAAAGACGAGAAGTACACAAGCACACATGGCCGAGATGATGCTCACAGATGCATGTTACCCACTCGGCACTAACCAAACATGCATATCAACTCCATTACACTTGCTCGTGCCTGGCAGCATGACTGCATGCTTGCGTGGGTGCACAGGCGAGCGGAACAAGCAAATCTGTGCATATGAAGCCCTCCATGGGCCAAGCGCATGGTAGGAGATCGGCCCATTGCTGCGGTTTCGATATTCTCGCGACTCGAGACCCTGCGCCTCAAAGTCCTCAAAGAATCAAAGAGCATGAGTCGCCCCTTCACGCCCTCTCGCTGCCTGGAAGTGGCCGCGCTGGCGCGGGAGGCACTGTGGCTGGCCTCGACACGAAACACTTTCACTGCTCGAAGAGCTTCGGGGCATGGGACTGTGCCAAGTTGCCCTGTGTCCTTGTGATCCGACTGTGGTGGCAGATACTGGCAGATGTGCCGAAAGCGCTGGGTTCAGTGTTGCTGGTAGTGTGGTTAGTGATCATTACCGTCTTCCTCAAGCTCCGGACCCATGAACGGTTTCAATACCATTCCAAGATGCGAGTCGTGCTTCATAGCCTTGCTAGCCGTGCCTTCATACCTACCATACATGTGCAGTGTAACATTACAGCAGCGATGGTATGGACGTGCACACACAAGAAGATGCTCATCATTGCACTGGCAGCTGTATAGAGGAAGACCGACTCATTACTGCACGCTTTGCTCATCTTCTTGATGATGCTTGGAAATGCACTCTTCAAGACACTCAGCATGCCTAGCTTCTTTTGCATTTCAGTGTGGATTCTGTCAAGCTCAAACTGGCTGTCTTGATGGTTGCACTCTGGCGATGTAAGGCTAGCGCGCTGAGTCTTGCTCCCTAACGATTGCGCATTGCTGTGCCGTGATAGTAGAACTGTGCCGGTCCCTTGAATCATCCGCCCACAAGAATTCAGACAGTGCCTGCCAGGATTGGAAGTCGACGAGGGGCTCGAGCCTCTCCACTCGGGGTGCCCTACGGGCTTTTGGGGTAAGGGCTTCGGGAGTATCGTTTCAATGCTGTTCCTGGACTTCTGCTTTGCCGCTGCAGTTGTGGGTGGGTCGAGTCCGTGACTTTCCTTTTTGGGTGAGGGTTGAAGGTTGCAGAGGTTTGGTCGCAGTTTGGCATTGTTGGTCGGCATGCAAGAGATTGGTGTCCTGCATTAGCTACACGAGCGCTTGCTACTCAAGCGGAACTACGAGATCTACAAGCAACAAGGCTTGTATCTGTGTCTCTGGTGAATCGGATGAGTTTGCAAACTCCAGACTCAGATGCTAGATGGTCTTCCTTTTTCGGTACAGGATACAGGAGTTGCGGGCTCTTGCATGACATGCCGCTCTATCTTCAATCTTGCAAAGCATGTCTTCGGCCCTAGGAAAATCTTTCTGTTGCGCTCGGCATTCTTGGTCTTTTCCCAGCACAGTCCGAGACAGTAGACCTTCAGCACCCGCCCCACACGTCGCTCCTGCAGGTGCCCGGAGCTGCGTCAGAGGCAGCGCAGCCGGCCTGAGCTGGGTTACAAAGAAACAATGCAATGATAGCCAATGCTCTGCAGTTTGAAGCCAAGTCCCTCGCTTGGCCGGCTGCTTGGACGGGATCTGCAGCAACGGACGGACAGGGCCTGCTTGTCATGATTGCAAGTCACCGCTTTCCTGCATTGTGGAAATTCCAGGTGGCCTTTTCACCGGTTTTTATGTTCTCGTAGGATATACCATTCAATGGCATCTAAGGAAGTGAACACACGGATGAGCTTATGCATATATGTGTACTGATAACGTGTATGTGTGCATGTAGGTAGGTCGGTAGATTGGTAGGCCGGTAGGCCGGTTATATGTATGTATGTGTGTGTTTGCATGCATCTATGTATATGTTATGTGCGTGAAAAGGTGTATGTAAGACGTACCTACATATATAGGTAGACATTCGAAACATGTAACTCCCGCACCCACGCTGATAGCGCTACTCCGAGGCGGCAGAACATGATACAAACAAACGCTGCGGCGAATTCAATTCTGGTGCTGTGCACAAGATCGAATGTCTAGCTACCCGTTGCTGACCCTTGAAATCAATCCACGGCATAGTCGACAATTGCGGCTGTGCAGCCAGCTGGACGGGGACTGGATGCTGTCGCAGGCCTCGCAGCAGCAATGCTGCAATGAGACGGCGACGGACTTCAGGTCGGTGCCCGGTACATGGGCCACTGCACCATCACACGAGTGCTTTATGGATCGAAAAATCAACTGCACAAACACAGTTGAAACGAGATTCCGAGATCGCATGAAGCCCCTAAGCAAGCAGCTAGCAGGCTCCAAACATCAGGTAGAACAGCATCACGTAAGTGGCACCCGCAATGACCATGACAAGACAATTCACCGCCGCCACCATCAAGAAGGTGAGAACCACCACGCGGCCCGCAAGAAGAAGACGGTCAAACAAGAACCACTACGATGACAAGCACAACACTAACGGTAAGAGCGTAGCCATCAACCGCGGCAGAAACCGCAATCACAGATCGACTTAATGTGTGTTAACCATCTTGCCCATCGACATTTGCTCTTTCTACCTTCTTCTGCGGCAGCCATGACAGGTTCAATGCCTACGAGTACCGAGTAGCGGATCCACGTTGCTACACCACACTTGTCAGAAGCATAGTCCTGAGCCACCGGCCAGGCACGCATGGATCCCCCAGGTTGCGAGGAGAAGCTTTGCCGTCGCGACTCGGGGTTGGAGCCAGCTTGCGGAACACCTCCACAGCCTTCACACGTTCCGAGAGCTGCGGCTGGATGAGCTGTTGGCAGCTCTACAGTACCAGTCTACCGCTGCTTTGTGGTGGCCTGGCCTTGTTACGGCAACCTTCGAAAAGCTTAATTCACGCTAAAGGGCCTCGTTCTCCCCCTTGGCAGAACCCACAAACAGCCAAAAACACGACGGCTTTCCCCACTGTGATTGGCACCTTGTGCCCTGGCAGGTGTAGCCAAGCTCGCATCAACTGGCCTCCCATGGAAGTGGCAACAGACTTCGGGTCTATGTACATCAAGCCGCCATCATTCATTTGGGCAGAACGTCAACGGGTGGATCGCGTAGTCGAAAGTGGTGGCGCTTCAAGCTTAAAAAAACTGCCCTCCCTCGCTGCTACTACTTTGACGACGACCCCGGCGAATGCTGAACCTCTAACAAACCGCAACACATGAAACAGCAACGCCCGTAGTCGCAGCAAGCCATACCCGCACCCAGTTCCACATGATGCGCTGTCCTGCCAAGGCACAACCCCTAGCTGCCCTAGCTTGAGGACAGCGAGTCTAGTGTTGCGGCCTCGGGTCAGCCTAATGATGTCTACACATGCGGATATTATACGATCTTTTTTCCCTTTAAAGAGATTGCTATCCGTAACACCGGCCAGGCAGGCCTGTATCCACCAGGTTGCGAGGAGAAGCTTTGCCGCCGTGACTCGGCATTGGAGCCTCCCGGGACAGCACCTCCAGGTGTTCTGGGTCTGACGCTGCTACTGCCTGCTTCCCGATAACATCAAAACGCACTGACACACACAGTGGTATGTATGTATATCATTGCACATATATA